CAAGTGTGTTCTTATATCTTTCTACCTCTTTCTATGAGTGCCGATTAAAAAAAAAAAAAAAATTCTCAGCATTCACCGGCTGTAAACTTTGACAGGAAGTTTATTGGTGCGTCCACTTCTGGACTTTGGTCTTGTTCCGGGACTCGAGTGTTGTGTTAAGTTAGTTGCTTGTCTTTTACAGGACGTTGCAAAACCCACCTCATCTTTTTTGGCTGCTTGGTTTTCTTGGCAAATTTACTTTCATTAGTTTGCCATTGGGATTGAACCATAGGCTCTCGAAATTACTGTCAAAACTAATGCGAGGTGGTCTGCTGCCAACCGAACAGGCACCCCTGCATTACGAAGCGCTTTCACAACGCCCAAGCCACAGACAACGACACAGACGAATCTTGCGTGTGCATCCATTTGACTAATTTGACTTATTTGTATACAGACTGTTGATTCCTCGCCTTTCGGGTAGACACTCTGCGACTTTAAGGAAACGTCGATCCTGTCTACGTTAGGCAGGCTCGCGGTTGGGAACCTGCTTCTGAGATGGCCCGGGAGAGGTGTAGGCAGGTGTAGACCAGTATCAGCCATGTTCCGGGTGCACCACCACATGTGTTGTGCAGCGCCTCATCTGTTTTCTTCCCCGCGTGGGTTCCGGGGCGCTGTTTTATAGAAGAACAAAAAAATAGACCCACCGCCTACCCAAAAGTATGTCGTAAGAGTCGACTAACTGGGACCTTCCTTCGAAGTCAGAGTGCATCTGCCTGAGAGACAAGGAACCAACAGTCTGCATACAAATGAGTCAGATCTGTACAACGGATGTGCACGCAACACTCATGTTCTGGAACAGGACTGCAGTCCAGAAGTGGACGAACAACCAGAACTTTGCGCCAGAGTTTACAGCTGGTAAACGCGAAGAAGAACTCGTTACATGGTGGAACGATCCACCACAGATCCCTTTGGGAGCGAGTGAATAGTGCGAAGACACAAATAGATCATTACAGTCTGGAGAGAATACTGCTGCGGGGAGTTACCAGGGGATCAGGCCGACGCTCAACACTCAAGGGAAGGGCGAAACGGATATACAATCAAACAGTTACTGGTGACATCAGAATTGGAATGCTTCGCCGGCTGCTGAAGATAGGGACACAGTGCTTATGAGAGTGTCTCGAGTACTGTGTCGTCGTTTCTTAATTCAACATCGAAAGAAAATGATTTCATATAATCACTTATCTCAAATTCTACAACCACTATGATCACCACTACTAACACCACCATCATCATCATAATCAACATAACCACAAAGTGCCTTGCCGACTGGCGTGGGCGATTATGCCTCTTTACATTCTACGATCTTTAACATCATGTATCAGTTAGTGTATATTGACATCCATTTCAAAACCATGACAAAAGGCTGACAAGAATCGCTGTCCTGTTGTCACCCTCTGTCTCTTTTCTTTTCACAGATCTTTACCGGGGTCACAACACGCTCCGGTAAATATTACGGAAATCTCCACAAACAGAGTTAGCCACGCCTATTTACACACTAGGTCACTTTTGATTGGTAGTGGCTAAGAAGAAGAAGAAAGAGGAGAGTACGAAGAAGGAGAAGAAGAAGAAAGGAGGAGCAAAAGAAGAAGATTATTATATAAGACACGATTATACAAACCCATATAAGACATATCTCGCTCCATGCTACAGGCTCTCTCGCTCTGTGGAAGACAAGGGCCCACACAAACATCAGAGGTACATTAACATTGTGCTAATGTAGATCTGTCTAAACAATAAATCTTTATGGCCTGGGACACCGCCATAAACCTAGACATTTGTTGGAGTTATCTTAGGTGTCCTAGGCCTTTTTTAGTTGATTTCAATTGTAATAATAATAATAATAATAATAATAATAATAATAATAATAATAATAATAATAATAATAAGATTAATAATAATAATAACAATATTATGGTGAATGGCACAGAAGAATAATGTTATATGTTACAGAATAGTCTTCTTCTTCTTTTTGTTTATCTTCTTCTTCTTTACTCACCTCCACTCATCTCTCTAGTTGCCCTTTCCTTTTCATTTGGTAACACCAAGTGTTTGCAGGTCTGTCTGGACATTATCTCTCCATCGTCTTCTTGGTCTACCTTGTGGTCTACGACCATTCATCTCCCTTGTCTATTTACTTTTTACCTCTCTGTCATCCGACATTCTCTCAACATGTCACAGCCATTTCAACCTATTAGCTCTCATGATGCCAACGAACACTGGTTATTTAAACAGATTATTAACTTCGTTGTTGATTCTCAGTCTCCATTCCCCGCTGTTTGCATCTTTGATGGGTCCAAAGATTCGTTGCAAGACTCTTTTTTCGAAAACCTTTAATAAGGCTTCATCTCTGTTAGTTGTGCTCCAAGTTTCAGAACCATATAACACGACTGGTCTAATCAACGTTTTATATATTTTGATCTTCGTGTTGCGAGATAGAGACTTTGATTTTAGCAGATTTTAAAGGGCATATATTCCTTGTGTGGGTTCAGGGGCCCTTTTATAGGGAAAACAAGCCTACCTAAAAGCATGTCTTAATAGTCGATTTATTTGGAGCTTCCTTTAAAGGACTGCATCTGCCTGAGAAGCAAGGAACCAGCAGTCTGCATACAAATGAGTCAGATCTGTAAAACGGATGCACACGCAACACTCAGGTTCTGGAAAAGGACAGCAGTCTAGAAGTGGATGAACAACTAGAACTTTCCGCCAGAGTTTACAGCTGGTGAACGTGAATCAGAAATAAGAGAAGTATCACTATTTAGTTGCTGTTGTTGTTGTACTGCTATACCTATACTGATACCACATAACACTCTTTTATACTTCCGCTGACTATTACCTGATCGTTTGGGTGTAGACTCACTACTGCATTCCCCACATAAGAGAACCTTTTATCTTCTCATAATCCTTTAACTATTATTCTTCTCGTCTCTCTCTCTCTCTCTCTCTCTCTCTCTCTCTCTCTCTCTCTCTCTCTCTCTCTCTCTCTCTCTCTCCCTCTCTCTACTTTTATACCTGTTTTCTCTCTATCCCTTTAAAATGTACTGCTTACACAAAGAGATATAGTAAACAAGCCCAGAACTGATGTTATCAGTCGGCATACTCTGAGGCATACGCTGAAGATGGCATCCGAGCGCTTACAGACTTGTCCGATGTGCAATGAGTCGATTAGCTGACTAACTGCTGGTTCCTTGTCTCTCAGCCAGACTTTGAAACAAACACCTATAATAATGTGCCTCCTACGACATGGGAGGGTCAGGGGGTCTATTTATTGTTCTCTAAAATGAAGCTCCCGAACTTCCTCACCAGATCTGTTGTCTCTATGAGACAAGGGTGAGTTCATCCCGTGTGTCACAGCTCCCGAACTTCCCCACCAGATAAGTTGTCTCCATGAGACGAGGGTGAGTTTATCCGGTGTGTCACAGCTACCGAACTTTTTCACCAGATCTGTTGTCTCCATGAGACGAGGGCGAGTTCATCACATGTGTCACAGCTCCCGAACTTTCTCACCAGATAAGTTGTCTCCATGAGACGAGGGTGTGTTCATCCGGTGTGTCACAGCTCCCGAACTTCGTCACCAGATATGTTGTCTCCATGAGACGAGGGCGAGTTCATCCGGCGTGTCACAGCTCAAGAACTTCCTCACCAGATATGTTGTCTCCATGGGACGAGGGTGAGTTCATCCGGTGTGTCACAGCTCCCGAACTTCCTCACCAGATAAGTTGTCTCCATAAGACGAGGGTGATTTCATCCAGTGTGTCACTGATTGATGCCCGAGTAATAATTATCAATAGGAAGCCAGTTAAGGAGTTGCGAATCCTAGGACGCACAAACAGACGGTCAGGATGGTGGACACACAAATTGACATATAGATATACAAATGGTAGGTACATAGGTGAGATATAGATATGCAAATAGTAGGTACATAGGTGAAATGGTTGTGAAAATTTTGAGAAATAGTCGAGCGAACTAACTTCACTTTACTTAGTCGCTCCTCTTCTGCCTTGGGTTGTAGATTAGTACTAATAATAATAATTAAAAAAAAAAAAAAAAAAAAAAAAAACAACAACAACATAGTAGGTAGATCAGTAAGCTAAAAGGCAGGTGACCAGGCATTTTTGGTTGTTGCATATCCTCTAGAGGACGTTGCAGAACCAACCCTAACAGCCCCTGGCTGTTGTGTGGTTTCTCTAGGCAAATTTACGTCCAGTAGTTTGCCATTGCTTACTGGACGGTCGGCTTTCTTGATACCACTGTCGAAACCAACGCAAGGCGCATTGCCCGCAGCTGGGATCGAACCTGGCATCCCGGCATTACGAAGCGAAGTGTTCGCATCGACTTAGCCACAGAGCCGACGACCAGGCATTAGGCAAGCAAAAAGACAGGTACACTGGAGAGATTTATTACAGATTGAATCTGCAGAGATGGATAGATACAAAGGCAAGCAAATATAAAAAAAAAGCCAAACGGATAGATATATAGATTTCAGACAAGTGCTAATATAGATGGACAAGCAGACATAATGATGAAGGCATAACAAACCAAACGAACAGTGGAACCCGTCAGCTTTACATTATTACAAACACAAACGACAAGTGCACGTTGCAGCTAGGAAGCCTTCTTCTGTACAGTACATGGCTATTAACTGAAGTGTCCTGAGAGGAATCACATATCTGTCTGACCAGTTGAATCTCTGATAAGTGTGAGAATTAAAATACTAGCCCGAGAAAGACTGTGCATATTAAGGGTGGTAACTCAATAAATATTACATAAAACTGTATATTGGCTATTAAGTCCCTTAGACTAGCAGTCGTAAAGACAGGCAGACCTAGCTAAATCACACTCAGGGAGTCGCACTGACTGGAAACAAATAAAATCGAATCTTAACTCTGACCAGAACTGAACACAAGAAAGCTGAAACAGGTACGCACCACGCTACCCCGTCTGCCACAAATGAAGCAACTTACGAAATTGATGTTCGTCCTCACAGTCCTTTGGTTCAAGGCTTGCAAGGGCCGGATGTTGCCTGCCATCAGTAGCACGGGGTTGTAGATCGTATCTTGCTTCAGTCTTCGCAATCCAGCCAGCTGGTAGAGAGAAGGGACATTGTCTGAATCAAAGCTGTTTAAAAGCGAGAGGACTGACTTCGCTGGTTATAGTTCTTCAAGGAACCAACACCACCATCTTCTTTTAGCTGTTTGTGATTTTACCATGCAATTATTTTACGTTCAGCACTTTGTCATTGCTTTCTGGACGGTTTCATATCGTTGTACAGTTTGCAATAAATATAATGTTTTGTTTATTTACCATACATCATCATCATCATAATCATCATCATCATCATCATCATCATCATCATCATCAAGCGCCTTGCTGGCTGGCCTATGCAGTGAAGCCTTTCCCCAATCTGCAATCAGTAACTCGTGTATCATTAGTCCCTGTGTTAACACTCCTGGATGCCATAACACAAGGCTGTCAAGAATCTTCTCGCCCTGTCTTCCTCTGTCTCTCTTTCCACAGATCTTTCCAGTGGTCATTCACTATACAGCATAGCTAATAATAAAGGCTCAAGTCGCTTAGGCCCATAGCCCCTTAGAAAATTATCAAATGGCTGGGGCTCTAACCCCCACCTACAATTGTTCTTTTGTGTCGGAGCGATCAGGTATGAGCGGTCTAACGTTACAACCCACGATACAGAATTACTGAATATAACATTGCCTAATTAAACCAAGCAAAGATAATGCATGCTGGGATTGATTTGCTACAGTCAGACAGACAAACAGACAGACAGAAAAGCAGACAGACAGACAAGTAGACAGACAGATAGAGAAGCAAACAGACATACAGACAAGCAGACAAACAAACAGCTAGACAAGCAGACAGACAGGGCTGAATGTAAAACAGGCCTGCGTGCCTAATTTGTAACCCTTTGAAAAAAAAGTTCGTTCGTTCGTTCGACATACAGACAGACAAGAAGATAGATAGACAAGTAGATAGACAGACACACAGACAGACAGACAAGCAAAGAGACAGACGAGCAGACAGACAGTCAGACAAACAGGCAGACAGACAGGCAGACAGACAGACAGACAAGATATAATCACCTGGGAGTGACTGATAAAAATAGGCTTGTTGTAAATAATCCAGGTCACGGTCTCATGACAAGCCGGATGTGTCAGTGAGCCTTCATACGTGACGTAATGGTCGGTGTCAGGCAGCAGTCGACGCAGGTTCAGGTAGGCTACATGTTTTCTGTCACCTGTTGGGAGGGATTCACCTGTTAAATCGTCTGCCCCTTTCACCTAATGCAGGACTGGATTTATGAATAAACTAAGCTGTAACACGGCCAGCTCCAGATTTTCTGGTTGCTCAACGACTTCTTTCGCATATTTGCAGTTGTACGGTCTGTGTTAATTTTTGAAAACTGGCTTTTGCTTCGCTTCGCGAACACTGGCTGTAAACTCTTGCGGAAACTTCTGGTTGTTCATCCACTTCCTATGCATATTTGTTACCAAAAAATTCGCAATGGTAAGGAATTGATTTCATCCAACAAGATGAAACTGGACAAATTTGTTTGTGCTGTTTGTACCTTGAGAATACATATTTAGTAGTGCTATAAGTACTGTTAAGAAAACTACTCTGGGTGAAAAAAAGTATTGCACATATCAATTTCATACTGATTGTGCTTGTTTACTAATTATTAAATTACAGTATAATTATATGTTGTAGTAGTCTACTAATGATAATAATAACCATGAATTATTTATATTTATGTTATGTATGATATGTGTATGTTTCATAGCAGTATTTTTATGCGCTAAATTTGATAAAGTACAAATGTCACCCCTCCCCTCCCCCCTCCCCCCGCTCCTCTGATGCAACAATACCCTCTCAGAATCAAAGAGTTAGCACTGATATTTCTTTACTTTTGCTGGAACACTTTTTAGTTTACATTTAAACGTTATTGATGTTTATGTTCATGTTGACTGTAGCAAAAGCATTTTTGTTTGTCTGTAAGAGCCTTTATTGTTATATTTATTCGGCACACTTATTTACCTTGAAAATGACGTTTGTTCTAAAAAAAATATGTCAAAAATTAATGAAACTGTAGTTTAACTTGCGTATACACCTCCTCGATAAAAACTGTGGACGCAGAAGGACTCAATTCTTGCACAAGAACGGGAATTCCCGTTCGAGCTGTACGGCCTTATAAAAATCTGGAGCTGGCCGTGACTGTAACTCAGGCTCCTTACAATCTGCCTGGGATTCGACGAATTCCTTTTTGTTTCACAAGTGCGGTATTCTTCGACGCATTTAGACTTTTTGCGAATACAGAGCTAGATCTAAATTTTACAAACCAATCTGCACGTGGTGAGTGATGTGGTCAGCATCACGCCGGCCGCCTCTACTTCCCAAGACTCCACCTTTGTACGCATTCAAGGCTGGGTCGCCCTGAAAGTTGAAGCTATTTTTGAAAAATTCCGGCTTAGACGACACAAACAAAAGACTTCACAATTTATTGTCTGGTATATTTCGCTTTATCTCGTCAGGTGCAAACTACAGTAACAATTATTAAATGAAGCAAATACGTGAATACCTTTTAACTGAAATACAAATTCAACCTCACTCAAAATCGACTGCCTGTTTTACCAGGGCATCCGCAATATCAGAATCATGTCTTTCTGTTTACACATTTCAGGACGCAGGATGCATCTCAAAGGGATACAGCGAAATATGCCAGGCAATAAATTGTGCAATCTATTGTTTGTGTCTTCTTTGCTCGTATTTACAACGGGGAAACCTTTCCTAGAAATAAATATGGTCGTAAGATTCGACTAACCGGGGGCTTCCTTCAGAGTAGGAGTGCATCTGCCTGAGAGGCAAGGAACCAACAGTCGGCATACAAATACGCAAGATCTGTAAAATGGATGCACACGCAAAACTCAGGCCCTAGAAAAAAGCCAAAGTTCAGCAATGGACAAACAACCAGATCTTTCCGCCTGGGTTTATAGTCGGTGAAAGCAAACAACAACAGTGCTGGGTTTGAAAGGTGCTTCCACTCTTTGGGCACCAAGCTTCTTCTACCTTCACTGGTTTGAGGTTTGAACAACGGATCATGTTAAATTAGACCATGTTTAGCGGATCATAAATAGCATGGCGTACTTGCGGTTGGTTTGTTGGATTGTGGTTTACAGCTAGACTGCAATATCTGCGCCTTTCGGTTCAACTATCTGATTTAATTCCAGCCCGTAATTAGTCGGGACATGCTTGTTAAGGCAGACAGACAAATAGATATACAGACAGACAGAGAGAAGGACGGGCAGACAGACAGACGAACAGACAGACAAAAAAATAGATAAATAGAGATAGATATATAAATTAAAAGACAGACAGACAGACAGACGGACGGACGGACAGACAGACAGACAGACAGACAGACAGACAGACAGACAGACAGACAGACAGACAGACAGACAGACAGACAGACAGACAGACAGACAGACAGACAGACAGACAGACAGACAGACAGACAGACAGACAGACAGACAGACAGACAGACAGACAGACAGACAGACAGACAGACAGACAGACAGACAGACAGACAGACAGACAGACAGACAGACAGACAGACAGACAGACAGACAGACAGACAGACAGACAGACAGACAGAGAAGTTTATGGACATACAGATAGATAGAAAGACAACCAGACAGATAAATGTAATCTGATAGATAAACAGACAGACAGACAGACAGACAGACAGACAGACAGACAGACAGACAGACAGACAGACAGACAGACAGACAGACAGACAGACAGACAGACAGAGAAGTTTATGGACATACAGATAGATAGAAAGACAACCAGACAGATAAATGTAATCTGATAGATAAGCAGACAGACAGACAGACAGACAGACAGACAGACAGACAGACAGACAGACAGACAGACAGACAGACAGACAGACAGTTGATGGACATACAGACAGATAGAAAGACAGATAGACAGATAAATGTAGTCTGATAGATAAGCAGATCGATAGACAGACAGACAGTAACAGACAGACAAAGACAGTTAATGGACATACAGACAGATAGAAAGACAAACAGACAGATAAATGTAGACAGACAGACAGGCAGACGGCCAGAGTGAGAGAGACACTAAAGAAGATTAAAGAAACAAAGAACGGAAAAAAGCTAGTATAAGAGTGCATACTTCTACAACGATCATTGATGCTCATCAAAGACCAGATTCTATCCATCTCACTGCCATTTCAAAACACATATTGATTCAAAAATGGGAAGGGACGTTTGAAAATACATTTCAATGGGCTATGGCTTTCCTCTATTGTACATTCAACATAATATGTAATTATGAAATTCAATCTTGTGAGTGGAGTCGATATGGAATGTCATAATGCCATACACGAACGTCCAATAGGGTTTTCATAAGAATATCACGTTTCAGAACGTAGAATTTTCAGCTAAAAATGTGCACTGGAAAACAAACAATAAAATTTATCAAAAGGGGTTAGAAATTTTAGACGTGAATAAAGTAGTGGAATTTGAATGTGTAATACAATACAAATAAATGGTACTGAGAATGTGTTTGTAAAGATTATGTTGAATTAAGTGAGCGACTGTGTTAGCCAGTTTTACGGACGGAGTGAATAAATGTGTTTGGGCGATGTTCCTTAATATTAGTAAAATATTATTTTAAACATATCGGTGGTTAGTGAAAAGAAGGCTCTGTTGATATGCTTTATGCTGTTGGCTCAAAGATTAAGGGTTCAGTTTCGCATGGTAAAGGGAAAAAATTGAAGTAGGGTGAACATAACGTTCCAAGCTGAAAACAGGACATTCCACTAACCCACAAACATTTAGAGCTGAAAACGGGACATCCCACTAACCTACAAACATTTAGAGCTGAAAACATGACATCCCACTAACCCACAAACATTTAGAGCTGAAAACGGGACATCCCACTCACCCACAAATATTTAGAGCGGAAAACAGGACATCCCACTAACCTACAAATATTTAGAGCGGAAAACGGGACATCCCACTAACCTACAAATATTTAGAGCGGAAAACGGGACATCCCACTAACCTACAAATATTTAGAGCGGAAAACGGGACATCCCACTAACCTACAAATATTTAGAGCGGAAAACGGGACATCCTACTAACCTACAAATATTTAGAGCGGAAAACGGGACATCCCACTAACCTACAAACATTTAGAGCTAAAAACAGAACATCCCACTAACCTACAAACATTTAGAGCTAAAAACAGGACATCCCACTAACCTACAAATATTTAGAGCTGAAAACAGAACATCCCACTAACCTACAAATATTTAGAGCGGAAAACAGGACATCCCACTAACCTACAAATATTTAGAGCTGAAAACGGGACATCCCACTAACCTACAAATATTTAGAGCTGAAAACAGGACATCCCACTAACCCACAAATATTTAGAGCTGAAAACGGGACATCCCACTAACCTACAAATATTTAGAGCTGAAAACGGGACATCCCACTAACCCACAAACATTTAGAGCTGAAAACGGGACATCCCACTAACCTACAAACATTTAGAGCTGAAAACAGGACATCCCACTAACCTACAAATATTTAGAGCTGAAAACAGGACATCCCACTAACCTACAAATATTTAGAGCTGAAAACAGGACATCCCACTAACCTACAAATATTTAGAGCTGAAAACGGGACATCCCACTAACCCACAAACATTTAGAGCTGAAAACGGGACATCCCACTAACCTACAAACATTTAGAGCTGAAAACGGGACATCCCACTAACCCACAAACATTTAGAGCTGAAAACGGGACATCCCACTAACCTACAAATATTTAGAGCTGAAAACAGGACATCCCACTAACCCACAAACATTTAGAGCTGAAAACGGGACATCCTACTAACCTACAAATATTTAGAGCTGAAAACAGGACATCCCACTAACCTACAAATTTTTAGAACTGAAAACAGGACATCCCACTAACCTACAAATATTTAGAGCTGAAAACAGGACATCCCACTAACCCACAAACATTTAGAACGGAAAACAGGACATTTAAAGCAAATTAGACTACCCACCCACCAACCCCCCCCCCCCCCACCCCCCTTCCATTTTTTTAGGACTAGAATCTACTGCTTATATTGTTTTTATCCTGTGGCTAAGACGTTGTGAGTCCGACTCGTAAGCCAGCATACCGCGATCGAAACCCACTGCAGGCTGCGTGGATTTTTGTCGTGGTATGGGACGTCGCAGGTCGACCCAGCCTAAAATGAGTACCACGATGGCTGTCCTGGGAAAGTAAAGACAGTCGGCGTAATACTGACCACATTACCCACAGAGTGCTGATGGTCTGTAAAAATATGGGACGCTCTGCCCATACGCCCGATGCGCCGGAAGGCGTGAAAAGGGAACTTTTAACATTTTTAGAACATGGGAATATTTAAGTCTAGAAATTATATTGTTGGTTGCTTATCCTTTACAGGATATTGCAGAACCAACCTCAGCACATTTTTGCTGTTCGGTTTTTCAATGCAAATTTACGTCCAGTAGTTTGCCATTGCCGCTGGACGGTCGGCTTCTCGATACCATTGTTAAAACCAACGTATTTCCCAAATTAAATAATCTATACAACAACTGTTTTAACTAGTTGAATTACATGTCTTATTTGTATTGCTTCCACTTGTGTAGTTTATAAAACCAGTAATTATCGAGCGTATTCCTATTTTTATTTTTTTAAAAGGAACTTTTGACTATTTTTGGAGTATCGGCGGGACGGCTTGGCCATATGGAAAAACAACCATGGGACTGTCCTAGTGTAAGCGGAACGTAAGGTCACCCCAGCTCTCAGGCCCATCTGTAGAAAGCTGCAGGAAGTCGTGGAGAGACCACGACCGGCTACAGCTGGCGGGCCGTGCTGCTAACGTCGCCGTGTCAGACTAACGATGCGTTAACGCAGCTGTTCTCAAACTGGCTGCCGAGGCACCTTGCGGTGCCGTGAGCGTATGCCAGGAGTGCCGCGGCAATATAGTTCCTTAAAAGTTAAAATTTAAGTTGTTTTCCCTCGCCACTGTCGAAAATATTTATGTTATTGCGTGAGAACCGCTGCGGTAACGCATCGTTAGCCCGACTCGGTGACGTCAACAGCACGGCCCGTCTGCTGGAGCCGGTCGTGGATAGACTAAGAGAAAAGATGTTGGCCAATTTGGCATGTTAGCATGGAGGGACACCTATATCAGAATTAACTGGCAATAGATGGGACAGAAGGCAGTGGACAAACACGATGACTGACAACTAAACACATGCAGACAAACCTACAGGTAGGCGAGCAGACAGGTAGATATTAACCCCCCCCCCCCCACACACACACACACACACGCACGCACGCACACACACACGCACGCACACACGCACACACACACGCACGCACGCACGCACACACACACACACACACACTCACACACTCACACACTCACACACACTGGGCTACACTTTACATCGTAATCAATTTATGGTTAGTTAGTTATTCCTCTTGTGCCAAAGATGGCGCATAGGGCAGAGGTCATAGCTTTCCACGTCTGTCGGTTCGTTGCCACTTGATGTAGGTCTTGAGTGCGACTGAGACCTATGGTTGAGCTCTCCCTTGTGATGGTTCTACGGAGAGTTTCTTTTGGTCTTCCCTGTTTTCTTTTACCCTCTGGTGACCATATGAAGGCTTGGTGGGGAAGTCTCTGTATGTCCATTCTGAGTACGTGACCGATGTAATTCCAGCGACGCATTCTAATAAAATCAGACACATATTTTTGTTTTGTTTCCTGTCTTATAGATGTATTGGACCTAAAGTCCGACCAGTGAACATTCAATAGCTTTCGGAGGCATCTATTCTCGAAAGCGACTAGTTTCTTATCGATTGATACTGATGATTTCCAACTCTCACAACCATAAGTTAGCACTGGGATCACACAGGAATTGAAGACCTTAAGTTTCGTGTTGTTGCTGAGTGATCTTGACTTCCAAATGTTTGACAGTTTGTTAAAGGCACTTGATGCTAACGCGATTCGAGTCGTTATTTCTGATGTTGTATCTCCCGCAGAGGTTATCTTGCTCCCTAAGTATGTGAAGCTGGTGGTTTTTTCAAGAACAATATCCTTTAGTTTGATGTCTCTCGACTCGTTGGTTAGATCGATGATTTTCGTTTTGGCTGCGTTGACCTGAAGGCCGATTTGGCTTGAAATATTCTGGAGGCGGTCCATTTTTTCCTGAGCTTCTAGATGTGTTGTGCTCAGGAGTGCTAGGTCGTCAGCAAAGTCAAGATCTTCGAGAACTTTGTCGACCCATTTGATGCCTAGATATGTGTCCTGTGTGCATTTGCGCATGACCCAATCGAGTGCTATTCCGAAAAGCATCGGTGACAAGACACATCCTTGTTTCACGCCTGTTTCTACTGGGAACCAATCAGAGTTACCAGATTCCGTTCTAACAAGGCAGCGGGAATCGGTGTAGAAGGCCTTTATAATATTGACAATTTATGGTGCCCCACATATAAGTGTGAATACGGTTGAACCAAGACCGCTCTAGGGTTGATCGGTGTTTTCCTGATCTGCCTGCTTGATTCTCATCTTTGGAATGTTGATCCGACAGGCTGCAAATCTGAAAGGGAATCATTGGGGGGGGGGGGGGGGTGGAAGGGGAAGAATAGGTTTCATCGACGTATAAGGGAGACAGAAAATACACGGGGCCGCGTTAGCGTAGTCGATAGGAGACTCGCTTTCAAATCCAGCTGCAACTCATGGCCGGTGATTGAAACCGGGCGGTTACCGAGGTTCACCCAGCCTTTAGGAAATAGGTAGCAGAGTTAACACTCTGGGGTAAAGGAGGAACGTCGCTGTAGCTACGGAGTTACGTGCGGATGGCGACACAGTTTCTTATCAGCTGTCCGTACTGGTGGCAGAGCACTTATGGGTTATAACCATGTGCAATGACGCTGGTTCACATCTCCCGACTTTACCTTTGCCTTTTTAACAAAATACACGGCGTAATAAAACAAGAATGACAACACAACTGGTATCACTTAGACCTTTATATATGGTTTCGTTCATAGCTCTGTGTATTCTCTCGAAGTGCGGGTGTGTTTCGTTGGACACCTGGTAGACAAAGAAGGGCAGAAACTCAGCGACATATAAAATAGAATTATTCTAAAATAAACCAAAATTGCACACAATCAAATAATCACGTGCCGCCTCCACAGTAAAGGTTGGCTGTGGATCCCTAGCACTGATAGTCCTTACCCACACAAGTCTGCAGGTTACAGCTTCTGTTGTAGCCTTTACATGTGCCCTAATTATAACTCCTTTGGAGGTTGAACAGGGTATCTTAGATCTGTCTTGTTGGTTTGCCGTCCAGAGTTAGATTTTTATATCTCAGGATGGTATGGCAAACCTTCAAGTTGCATCTCGGAGGGGACAAACTGATCTATCGACCCAACCCTGTGACCTATCCTGGTTGGATAGTCTTTCAGAGTGTTGTTCGTCTATTTCTCTAGGTTTTCCTCTCCCTCCAGTTTTTGTTATGTTCGTACACACTCTGCTTTCAGCTTCTTAAATTAAAAAAAAAATTTAAAAAAAATATGAGTCTGTCCCCACTCTCTTAACACGATTGTCTTTTAAGTTAAAAGAATTTTTTTTCTTGCCTCTGTGTTATTTCTTTCAACAACCATCTTTACATTTACAATGTCTTCCGAGCGTGGTGATTATTTTGATAGCTTATTCCCCACTCAATGAAAAATCCGCCTCACGAGAATAGGCCATCTGAGAGTGCAGTCTGATTTTCTGAAAACTTTCCCTTATTCCAATGTACACATTAGCTTGCTGACTGTGTGCGATGAATCGGCGTCTGTTTGTTTCATATACCGCAAATAAAGCAAAATGAAAACTAAATGTTTGTTGACATTAAAAAAATAATACTTACAAATACATTATTATTAACAGACCGCATCCCAAATTTCAACAACCTACATCGAAAGATTACTGATTAAAAAATGTGTAATGTTCAGCAGTCGGCTCTGTGGCTAAGTCGATGCGAACGCTTCGCTTCGTAATGCCGGGATGCCAGGTTCGATCCCAGCTGCAGGCACTGCGCCTTGCGTTGGTTTCGACAGCGGTATCAAGAAAGCCGACCGTCCAGTAAGCAATGGCAAACTACTGGACGTATATTGCCTAGAGAAACCACACAACAGCCAGGGGCTGTTAGGGCTGGTTCTGCAACGTCCTGTAAAGGATACGCAACTAACTTTTATTTTAATGTTCAGCAACACTTTTGGAACGCACTACAACAGTGGCCCTCAACCTTCCTAATGGCCCGAGCCTTTAGTACAGTTCCCCATGTTGGGGCGATCCCCAGACATACAATTATTTTCGTTACCACTTCATAACTTTAATAAATATGTGTTTTCCGATGGTCTTAGGCGACCCCTGTAAAAGGGTCGTTCGACCCCAAAATGAGTCGCGACCGGCGTGTTAAGAACTACTGCACTACAAAGTTTTTAACAAAGCGGAATAGTGGACACACACAAACAAAGGACCTTGGCCGTTGCCGGGTTTGGTTTGGTGAAAATGCGACGTTACACATAAGTTATTGTTTTATATGGGTGTCGAATGTGTATGTATATGTATGTATGTGTGTATGTTCGCGCACACGCACGCATGTATGTGTGTGTATGTATCATGAAAACCCATATGCTTTTCCCAACGACTGTAAGTAAGGACGTATCTAAAATTCAAAGCATCGTTTTTTAAGTTTCTAAAAAGACGTGCAATTTTAAATCAATCTGGCATAAATTTAAAAGCAGACAATACGTAGATTTTAGGACAAAGGAAGAAGCAGCGATGGATTTTAGTGAAAAAAAAAAAAAGGGAAATGATGGTGAGACGATGAGGAGCGGCGGGAGGAAAGTGGGGGGGGGGGGGGGGGGGCGGAGGGAAGAAGAATTGGCAGAAGTAGTAAATTGTGATGCAGAAGAAGCAGAGGATAACGGTGATGATAACAGAGAAGAAGAAGAAAAACATATATAATGTTAATATTTGCGACGATGATAGCAGAAGCAAAGAACATAAAGTGACATAAACATAAGTAAAGAACCGCAGACATAAAAAGTACGCACTATAAGACAATCGTTAACTAGTAATAAAATGTAAAAAAATCGGGAATCTTACCTTAATCAGAATCGATACACAGACTAAACCTCTAGGCAAGGTCATGGCCGCTGTAAAGTTACTGTACAAATCCGAATTGTAAGCCAGCATCTGAATCTGGAGTAATAAATACTTAAGTATTATTCAATTATTCCAAAATAACGGTTGACTAGATTTTTTAAAGTCATTTCACTGTATGTGCACAAATCCACACTGCATCCTGAATCTTTTAGATTTTAACGCGGTAAAAGATCTGCGAGACTCCAAAATTACAAGAATTATACACTGTATACAGGCTGCTTAGCTGTGGTTGTTGCATTTCGAACTTATTCTATAGGTCGTTCAACAATAGATAAACACATGCAAACCGTTTTTTTTCTCGAAAACTGCCCGTTACATCGCAATGATTTTGTGCATGCAGGCTTAGAATATCCATGACGTTAAGGAAATATTTTTTTTAAAAATTAAAAATAAATATCATGTGTAATCTTTTTCTTTTTTTTTCCTTTTTCACGATATATATATTTTTATAATGAAACCGTAATGGTAGAATTTTGGAAGGTTTACTTTCATTAGTTTCAGGAAGTAATGCACGCTATGATTGGTTTAACAGGGGACTTAAAGAACACCTACGCAGTTTCACAAAGTAGGCAAAGTTGCACTTTTAGTGACCTACAGCCAAAATAAGACGTCGGTCAAGGCTGTTTAGTCAAAGGGGCATCCACAAATTAGTGTTGAGTTATTGTGTTACACAGCAAGCTTATTAAAAACTAACATAGACATTACCTTGAAAATGAATTTGAGATGCAAATTTATAACTATGCAGAAGGTTACTGTTTTACTGTACCAGCACTTCCTCAGGGAATCGACGATGGGTCATCTATATTTTAAAATTCATGACCCAGAGAAACGAACATCATTGGCGATTGGGCTGGATAGAGCATCATTTAACTGTTGGATTAGACAGGTCACAGAGTATACTCATGTCAGGCAAGGAAGAAAAAGGAAAGTTGACGACTTTGATGTAGATGTCATTAGACGTGAGATCTTAAAAATGTTAGAGACAAATCAACGCGTTACTCTCCGAAAACTGAAATTAACATTTAAATCACAATGCAGTATTGACATTTCAAAAAGTAGTCTGTGGAAAATTGTAAGAGCCATTGGGTTCACTTTCAGGAAAACTGTAGGTGGAAGGGATATTATTTGTTAAAAGCCACATTTGATTGCTAGTCGAAGCAAATAACTGAGGCAGATCCACGAGCGACGGAAGCAAGGCTGTGATATTGTATATTTGGATGAATCATGGGCTAATGGCTTACCATACCTATGCTAAAATCTGGCAGTCAATAAACGGTGAACAGAAAAGGAACATTCTAAGCAGCAAAGGCCAGCACAGTATACTCACTTTTGCAGGAAGGAGTAAAAAAGTTCTTGTTCATGATGCTGGACTTATTTTCCAATCAAAAAGTACGGATGGTAGAGACTACAACACTGAAATGAATGGACACATTTTCAGGCACTGGATGGAGAATGATCTTCTTCCAACTCTGGACATACCATCATGCCTAGTAGTGACTAATGCCGCCTATCATAATGCAGTACCAGAGAAAGACAAAGTACCAACGACGTCAAATACAAAAGATCAAATTATGACATGGCTTGCTAAGGGGAAAGTCAGCATTGACGACACAAATTTGACGGCCGAGTTGTTGCAGAAGGGTAGGAGGATAAGAGAAGGAGGAGGAGAAAAGAGAGAGCATTTTAAAATGATATGTAAAAGAAATCACAGGGAACAGAAACTAAATCAAACACCATATACGGGAAATACCTGACGTTCAAGAAAAAGTGTGTAAAATAACTGGACACTCACCTCGGCCGTAAAACCGGTGCCGTCTACGGTGTGTTCTGATCCGTCTTGACTGGAATGTCCGAAATGTATGGTCAGTTGACTGATT